TCCATTGTTTTTCTCCTTGCAGACCATTCTGCTACTGATTATCCTACCCTGGTGGTACCAAATATTTGCTCTAGAAGCAGTTTTTGGGATCTGATATCTGGACCAGCCTTTTAACAGCGACGTCTAGAGCTGGCCAAACTGTTGCGACAAGTTCAACGAGGGTAATATCTCGTGATTTTTTGGAAGGGCGCGTCGTAACTGCTTTTTTTGGAGGTTGAAAGGAAAGGGCTATAATGAAATGTGAAGAAATAGCAGTCTCAGGACAGTATGCCCGTGGTAGCCCTACTCAATCGGCCAGCGAGAATTCTGGCTACATTGACCGTATTTGTTGAATGAGAGCATGACCTGCGGAGGTTTTAATTTGTGACCGTCAACTTCCCCTCGTCTAATAGTACGATGTATTATCTTCCTAGTGCATACGTGATGAGTCAGGAGGTATCGAAGGTCTAAGGTGTGTGTAGACATTCGAACGGATACTCACAAACTCGACTCCCATCCTTTTAGGCTCCGATGAAGGCGAGTCGCAGAAACGTCAGCCGATTAAGTACTGTTAACAACCTCGTATGCAGTTCCAACTAAGCAACAATTACTCATCACCGCAAACCGAGGTTTATCGAGAGTCCAACATGGCGACTACTTCCCCTTCTTGCTTGTTAAAAATTCTTGCGTATCCCGTGCGAGGGCAAAACTAGGGAGACGCCTATTTCGAGGGATTCTTCTGTATAATGTTTGTTTCCGTGAAGAGAGTGAACTGACCAAAAGCAACAAATTCTCCTTCTCACCTTCTCAAGCATGTTATCCCTGAGCTCCCTTGAGTGTGCAGCGACTACTGGATCGCCCAAAAGTTCTCGATTGTAATCTTTCAGGCACTAGAAAAGAAGGTAGTATAGGAGAAAAAGGAAGTGGTTTTACGTTTTTTCTAGCTGTGGAACTTTTCCAGACCTTATTGAACTTGCTCAAGCTTCGTTGTGTGAACGCTTCCGCCATGCATTTCATCGCATCGATATCGCGACCTCGAACAGGTTGGATCGTCTTAAAAGATCAGTTGTCACCAGCTGAACTTCATGTAAATTCAAAATGTAGGCGCTATCGCAAGATACGGGGGCATTATTGTGAAACGCACTCGAGAAGGTCCCTTCTGCTGCAAAAGGGACTAAGCTCTAGGCGAGGGAAGAGAGACTTCAGGGTGAGCTATTTTCATTTTCCCTGGAGTTCCAGCCTATCCCAGGCTTAGTTCTAGAAGATGCCCCCGTATACTGCGATAGCACCAAAATGTAAAATATATATGAAAACTCGAAAAGTTGCAAAATGTGACCTTGCTGGAGAGAAGCAGAGGTATCGCCGCAGCGTCGTTTAACATTATCTAAATTTTGGTTTTAATTAAAGAATTAACGGAAGCTAATTAAGCCAACGATCCAAGAATACCTTGCATAGGCACATGTACTTGAGCGCTCGCACTGCTTTAGGTGGGTCAGCGATCAGAAAACCTTCCAGTGCCTCATAACAATACGAGTATGCCGTCTTGAAGTCTTTCTCGTCAGCACTGTAGAGAATTCCTGACTGTAAGTCGAGTGCGGCCTAAAAAGTGAGAACGTCAGTGATAACCTATCTTGTTGGTATGTGCCACACATCCCAATTTTGTTTAGATTTCCGGATTGCCACACACGTTTGTTGCTCAGTAAGACTATATGTGATGAGCACACAATATTCGAGTACAGCAAATTTATACGAACTATACAATTTAGGTGCCAGGGTTACCGAGTCCGGAGGATTTTGAGCGTTGTTGGTCTCAAGACGAGCCGGGCTGAGAAGGTATTAGCGGCGCGTCACTGCGCTATATCCTCCACAATTTTGCTCTTTGAAGGCGGAGTTTACGATCAGAAGCAGCCCAATTAGTCTCAAGGTAGAGGTGAGCAGTGGTACCGAGCTGAAGAAAACCATGAGAAGTGAAACGACCCAGAACCTAAAAATAGGACCATTTTCTTACCCAATGATTTCCGCATTGATGTACTTTCATTGATGCTGCCCTCTTTACCGCTAACGCTCGTCTCCTCTATCTCTCTGTCTCATCTGCTCTCTCTCTCTGTTAAACCGGGACTGCGGCATAAACGTTACGCCATTGGTGGCGTGCAGCGCCGATGCGCTGCGGGAGGGCCAATCACCGAGATCGCGGACATCTCCTTCGCATACGAATTGTTGTGTCTTTCCGCTGCCCATAGGGGTTCGCTGACTGTCTTCCCGGCTAGGTAGGTTTCTCCTATTTTACACTTTCGACCGTTATCGTGGAAGTCCTCCGAGCTACAAGTGTGGCTAAGGCCTAAATTCGATTCCAGTGTATGTCAAATGCGAATGAATTCCAACCTGCATTTGTGTAGAGACATAGGCACCGTTTGCATTTGTTCTGGCCATGACCAAAGACGTTTTGGCCTGAAGGTGATTAAACACCATATTTATGGAATTCAAAGAGAGTGTACATAGGCGAACCTTTCCAAAGTTCTTGAGAGCAAAGGCGCTTTTGCTTTCTTCCAAGGTAACCTCCATGATCAATTCACGGTCTTCGATTTTCTTCAGCTCAGCAGTCAAGGGACCAGCTGTAACGAACAGCAACAACTAGGTATACCGTAAGACTTCTGAGCGGCCAGAATTTCATTTCTTATTAGGAACTGTTATTTTCTTATCACTAACAAAAATTTTGGACACCTATTCGAGAGAAATACCTTCTGTTCTACCCCTTGATACATCACCTCTGATACATAGTCACCCCTCTCCCGCCCCATCTCCACTAGAGCGGGTAATAAGACTAGAATCCCTCCCCTGCCCTATTCCCCCATCGGAGTGTTTGAAAAGGCGCGCATATCCTTAGGGGGGGGGACATTGAAGTGAGTGGGCCACTTATAGAACTATGGACGAAGCCTTAGGGTGGGGAAAAGATTCAGCGAGAAATGTGAGCAACCGTTGTTCTCCTTGATGTTTATTCCCAGTGCTGGGCTTAGCCCTAGTGCCACCTACTAGCGGGTTTCGAATGTCCTTTTTTGAATGTCCCCCCTAAGGAGATGAGCGCCTTTGAGAAAATACGGTAACATGGGGATCATTAGGTGTTACCGTAAATGGAGTCAGTGGCCCCGATTGGCTGGAAGGTGTGGACGTCATTTGAACGTCACTTGGCTGAACCGGACGTCAAAGTTGGTCCAACCACAGCCTAGTCCCACGCATGAACTTCCGATGACGTCATCAAAACCGCTCGAGCCGTCGTGATCATTTCCTTCGTGCTTCACTCGTTCAGTATATCGAACCTATCTTCTGTGCCTCGACATAGAGTCCGATGTCGTTGTAGAGACGAATTAGCCGTGCTTGTAAGGTTCGACGAAGGAACAGGCGGCTATTTGCCGTAGCCCATTCGATACAATCCTTCACTAGCTTGACCTAAAGCAGCACTGTTCGCCTATTATAGGTAAAATTTCCAACTGCTCTACGTTAATTGATTTTTATATGGTTGTGAAAAACCCTAAAAGTTTACTTTCTCCTTATTGTCCTGATTGATCATGAGGCAGTATTCCATGAGGACACGGATCAATTTGCTCGCCTTCGCTCTACCAATTACGTCGTAAAATGGACGAGTTATCACAATCAGTTTACGTAAATCTGAAAAATCAAACCTTACCATTAGTGTAGTTCAATTCAAGCTGTCTTCACAAGAGGGTCCGTTTTTGAACAAGCTCGTGTTCAGCGACATTACTGTACGAAAAGTTACGTAGATATCTGCCTTCTTGAAGGGCTCCGAAGCAATCAGTAGTACTTATAAATACACTGGTGTGCAAAACTTAGGGACGAACGTAGCTTTTCCAACGACGTGTTACTGGCGCGTAACATGACTCTATGGAACCTAACCACACATACAAAGAGCTGCCACAGGGCACTAAAGAAAGCAGTTAACAGGAACCGTTAAACGGTCCACAAAGCTATCAAAAGGTTATGATACTTCATCTGTCTCGTCCTTAAGTTTTGCACACCAGTGTACATTTGCCTTATAACTTGTCTGGTGCCACACTTGAGCCCACTACCTCACTAAACGTGTTTGGAAACCCAAGGGAAGCTAATTTCCTCTTTCAAAGTCGGACTTGACGGCGTCGAAAGGCTATGAGGTGCTGAATTGGAATTGCTCCACTGGTTGCACCAAGGTCAAATGACCATGTTCTTTCCAAAGATTTGACGATCCCTTCTTAGAGGGGGTCTCCTTACGATTCCCTCCCCCCCTCAACAGCACTACCACCCTTAGGGATTCCCCCATATGAGCTCCTACGTTTGCACCATGAATTATTCAAAACCTTTATAATGCGTGTGTGATCTAAAATGCCTAGGCTTAAAGGCAAACTCCGGGATTAAACAGGTGCTATCAGCGCTTCGTAGTGATAGCTTAGCTGCGGAACGACCTGAAAGTGGAAAGGAAAGCAAGAGAAATCTTTGGGAACGCTGAAATTAAGGCCTTAACCTTCAATAAGGTCGGATGTGGTACGATGGCGAGAAAGGGCGGTCAAAGAAGACAAAAGAGCACGCGTTTGAGAGAGCACGCTGATCTCTCATCAATGCACGCTGATCTCACCACATCTCGCGGTGGGTGGGAAGCGTTGGAACGGGGTCGATGGTTGCAGGCCCGTAAGGATTAGCGCCCTAACCGCGCAATTTTTGCGACGAAGCTGGAGTGATCTAGGTAGGTACGGACCTTACAATTTCCCTCGTGGTATCCCTCCTACTAGTCGGGCTAATCCCGGGGTTTGCCTTTAACCATAAGGTAAGCCATCCATAGGGTAACAACGCCCATACCGCTGTATCGAAGCAACTCATTCTGCGAAGATTTTCAAGGTTTCTATGAATTTTGCTGAAGTGCCTCTAAAGAAAGAAAAACTAGGCGTAACGTTGACCCTAATTCCGTCAACGCTCTAACCACAACCACTCGAATTTGTAGGTCGACCCGTCCATCAGTCCATTAGCGGACCTATCTATTTGACTGAAGAAAACGTCTCTCGGACAAACTACTTATCTTGGAACCCCGTACGACACTCATTTCCTTGGGGGGAGGGAGACATTCAAAACAGGGTATTCGAAAACCGCTGGCCGAGATGACATTTAGCTCAAGCCCAGGAGAGGGCAAGAACAGCAGGAAGATCAAAAAAATGCAGAAAATAATTTCGCGAAGAATCCCTTTCCACCACTTCTGAAGCTCGCCCTGGCACTATTTGAGCGCTCATCACTTGAAGTCCCCCCCCCCCCCACCAGAACGACAATCAGCGCTCCCACCTCCCCCCCTCCCCCACCACCCTATCCACCGTCGCAATCTCAATTTATGAATGAGTGCTGAATAAATCGCGTGAGTGTAGGCTCAATTTCTGGGGCTCATGAGCTAATGGGACGTCGAGGCAGGTGAGAGGAAGCACTAAGCCCATGCCAGAACCGCGTACTACCGGTGATGTTCGAGTACACGCTTCAAACATCAGCATTGCACGAGGTAAGCAAACCAGCCCTTTTGGCGTTTCGGCTGGGACCGTATGCTGAATGTTGGGGAGGGGATGGGGTCCCAACGGTCGACGGTTTACTTCAACTCGGTTGGTACGATAGGAGAGTACTGACGCAAGTGGTGCAGCTGGTCCAGCAGCTCCGCCAGAAGGGCTGGTTTGCTCACCCCAGGACTAAGCCTTGGAGAGGGGACGGACCCGTCCTCTCTTTAAGGCTTAGTTCTGAGGTAGCACCAAATTGTGGCGGTTCTAAGGACCGAGTTGAAGTGGTCCGTCCACCGTCGGGGACTCCATCCCCTCCCCAACATTCAGCATACGGTCCCAGCCGAAGCGCCAAAAGGGCTGGTTTGCTTACGTCCGCCTTTTGTCTCCTATTATCGCATATTGCACGTGCTGCAACTCGTTCGCTGACTCTGCCCACCTGCCGCGCGACGGGCCTCCTGTCGAGACCCCATTATGATGCCCCACCTGACGACACCAGCGCCATTGATTGATCTGCTTCTATTCAAGAACCGAAAAATCGGCAGAAAATTCATAATTTCTAAGTGAGTGAGAGTGGGCAGTGGACTGGGGACACGAGTCAAATGAATCCATAAATGTAACAGTCTTATGGCGTGAATTCTATCAGTTTTTACGATTCTCCGATTCCGTCGCAGAAAGACGCTGAGTATGAACAGCCTACTCGTGTTACCAATTACGTCCTAAGCGAGCTTAAGATTCGCATGACATCGTGCTCTCAGTCATCTGCTCCAATTGGTGATAATAGTCAAGGTTGAGATGTTTGTTGGATTAAAGTGAAGTGACTTACCCGCAACATTCCCTTCCGCGGAGAGTTTCTTAGCAAATTCCACTAACCGATCTTCACAATCCTTCAGCTCCTCTTCCGTGTACTGATGGTCTTCGGATTTGTGGGATACTGTAAAGGAACTACATTTGATGCGCTCATTGTCCTTGGGGGGGGACATCCCAGTGAGTGAGCCAATTACTGTACTTGGGACTGAGCCTTAGGCAGGGGAAGGGATTTTATGGGAAGATGCAAGCAATATGTGTGCTCCCTGGCGTTTCTCCCCTCTCCTGGGCTTAGTCCCAGTGTCACCTGCCATCGGCCTTGTTGTTGATGTCCCCTCCCCCCAAGGACATGAGCGCCCATTTGATGATCTGGGAGCACAAAGCAGAGGGTGTCTCTTACCCATGTCCTCCACCTTCTCATCGTCATCGGTTCGCTAGCCATCGACGTTTTGCAGTCGCTTGCGGAGACAAAAACTATGAAATGAATCACACCGCTTCTGAGATCTCTAGTGGAGTGAGATAGCGTATCAACACTTGATACATCTTTACATACCGAGTTAATGCACGTCCTCATCTTCCAAACAGTGTGGGCTCAGTGATTTTGATATGGAGCATTCATAGTTGGCGGTCGTAAGTGCGATTAGGGGCAGTATACTATCCTCCTCGAAGGGGAGGAAAACTTCCTTTGAAGTTTCTCTGTCTTCCCAACTGGGATTACCCTGATAAAAGGCCTACATTAAATGTATGTATGTAGGTTAAAGTAAACATGCATTGAAAATGAAGAAACTACATCGTTCAAAGCAAATAAATTTGAAGGAAACTTTGCGTCACCTAGCTTCGGGGAAGGATAGCATACGGCCCTAGGTGAGTAGCGATAGGTTAGGCGATTGAGCTATTAGTCTATAGTAGAAAAAATACGTAGAGTAGGCGATTAGGCGGGGAACACAACATAGTATTGGTTGGTTTACTCCGCCCGTAGAACGTTTTGATCGAGTAGACGATTAGGCGAGTAGGCGAGTAGGCGATTAGGCGATCGCTCGATGGGCGGAGCAACGAATCAATACGTACCCTTCCATCATTGCCTACTCGCCTACTCGCCTAATTCGCCTTATCGATACGTACGCTTTTTCTTTTAATCATCGCCTAACCGCCTAGTCGCTCAATCGCACGTGTGATCGTCAACTATGAACGCTGATCAAAAGCATGTCGTATGCCATTGAGCGGTGCTAATCGCTTATCGCTTACTTCGCCTGCTCGCCTAACAACCTTTATATGTGCGGGCCAAGTCAGTCAATAAGTATATAGTCTTCTTCTCCTAATGCCCTCTGTCGCCTATTCGCATGCTAGTCACTCAACGCAGCGTACGGTCGCCTACTCTACGCTCCATTAGGACTGTGTGGTCATGCTGGCGTCGGCATGCCCATGCATCTGGAAACACATGGGCCTTCTGCAAGCATTCGAACGTGCCGAACAAATCGCGTGCTGCCAACACATTCCCGTTCCACCCTCTGTTGCTTGGCATCCAGTACTGCGTGAATTTGAAGGAGTAAATTTTTCCTCAAGTTTTCCCTAGTTGAAGACGAACTTTCCAAAATTTGGTAATTCATCTAACATTCCGTATTTGTAATCTATCTCCGTATTTGGCTTTTATGTCAATGGTGAGTTCCATTGGGAAATGTGAATGCTATGAACAATCAGGAGTTGTGACCCAAATCCTCCCCAAAGACTCTCTGACTCGCATAGTGTGATCCGAGTGGGGTCTAATACTTTCGGCGAAGGCTGCTCTTCACTTTCATATTGTTCTCTGCTGGTGTCCTTGACGAGGCGTCCATTAAGTGTAGGCTGTTGGCGGGAGATATGGTGTACTTGTACTTTCTTGCATCTCTCTTCTCGAAATTTGAAGTTTCTCAGTTTCCATTACCGCACTAACTGCCCCCCTTTTTCCCCCTCCATGTGTTTTTAAAGTTTTTTTTTTATTTTTTTCTAAAAAATCTCAATGTTCACTTTTGAGCCTAGCAATTTTGTGTTCCAGAACGAGCAAATCTTAGCGGTTACTGGAGACTGTCCAGAGCGGTGTCGCTGCCTTGAAAATTCTATAATTGCCACCTATCAAGCGAAAATCGGGGGGCATATGCACAGACTGCTGCCACTGCTCATTCCTCTTCTTGCTTCCACATACCCTTCTTAATCAGTGCTGTGTACTATCAAACACCGTTCATCTCAGCGCCCTATTACTGGCCCGAACTTCAGGATATAGGGCAGTGAAAAGAAAAAAAAAAACAGCATCAATTTGAAGCCAACGAGATCAGGGTATCACTCGAAACTAGCTGTCCTTTCCAGTCTCTACTGAAAAGCCCATGCGCGTGGTAAGAAGAGCTAAGCCCATCCCGCACCTGCTTCGCGCCACTTTTGCTCTTCTGATACGCGTCACGAAGACGTCAGCACTTTAGAGTTGAACCTTTTCTATCTCCCGAAGGATCCATGCCAGCCCATTCAGTTCGGACAAGGTGAATGCTGTGCCGTAGTCGTGATCTGCTTCTAACCAAGATTTCTTTTGCCATCTCCAGTAGTTTACAATCATCTCTCATCTCGTCCTCCTTACTCATTCAGACTTCATGTGTAGAGCGAGGAGGACCCTGTTTTGTAAAGCCGCGGAGGACTCGTATCTTTAAGTGTTTTTGAAGATTTTCTTGACGGTAGGCCCTGTCTACGGTAACGTCTATCGCACCTTTTGTTCAAGTTGCAATCTTACTCGCTGCAATGAGCCTTTTTTGTTTGACGATTCGGCAATTTCTTTGATTTTTCTCCACTGAAGTTTCCATTCACCTCTGCAGGTCACTTTTAAAGGAATTAGCTCCTATCTTATCACCCTTCACCCTTATGATCCTAGAATCTGTTACTGAAGACTATGATTCCAATGATTCGTCAAACTGAAAACGATCTTCTTCTCCCTAGGGGTAGTCTGGCGCAGTCGTAGGGTTCGCTGCATTTAGCAGTCGTCGCCACTCGCCCTACTCAGGGCATCTTCTGCTGTGGCCGTGACTTTCACTTAGGTCCTTCTTGATTACGTCCTTCCACCTCTTCTTTGGGGCACCTCGCGGTCGCTTGCCTTGCGCTTCGAAGTCCATTGCTTTCCTTATTGGGTGGTCCTGTGGCCTCCTTAGCACGTGCCCATACCATCGCAGACGCTGTTCCCGTACCTTCAGCTGGACAGGGGCAGTCTGCATGACCGCTCTGACATCCTCGTTTCTGACCCTGTCCAGTCGCGTCCAGCCGCAGGCCCACCTCAGCATCCTCATCTCAGCGGAGTGAAGCTGCCTTTCGTGATTCTTGTTCAGGGGCCAGCACTCGCTGCCGTATAGCATCGCAGGCCTTTCTGGTACACCTTCCCTTTGAGCGGAGCACCTTCGATCGCAGAGGATTCCAGTGGACTCCCTCCATTTCATCCATGCAGCGTTGACCCGAGCCTTCACCGCCTGATCCACACTACCGTCGGCTGCCAGATCGCTCCCAAGGTAGCGGAAGTCCTCCACTCTTTCGATGGTTTCTATTGGCTCTGCACCCTCTTCGGAGCTCAGGAACTTGGTCTTCTTGACATTCAGCCGGAGCCCACCTTCTGCCAGGACTTTCTGCCATTTCTGCACCTTGGCCTGAGTTCTTCTCTGCTATCCGCTATCAGGGCGATGTCGTCAGCGTAGAGGATGGTCTTTAGTGGTCCTTCCATGAGCCCCTTCACCATGACATCTAGTGTTAGGAAAGAGGAACGGGCTCAGAGCTGACCCTTGGTGCACCCCAACCGTGATGTTTACCTCCTTCGTTAGGCCGTGTGGGGTGCGTATGCTGCCTTAGCCCCTCGTACATGTCCTTCACCAGAGAGATCAGGTGTTCTGGCACGTTTCGTTCCCTGAGCGCCCTCCATAGCACTGCTCGCGGTAGCCGGTCGAACGCCTTCTCCAGGTCGAGGAAGGCTAGGTAGGGGTCGGCGCTTTTCTCGATACTTCTCCATCACTTGCCTTGCGATGAAGATGGCATCCGTTGTAGACCTTTCAGGGCATGAACCCGAACTGTTCCTGGGAGATCGGGACCATCCCGGTAGAGTCTCGAGACTCTCAAAACTAAGAACGATATCTCTCACTATTCTCTGCTCGTGAGCGGCACCTTTACGAAATGAAATCTCTGCTGAATCCTTGCAATCCAAGCGATCCTTTTTCTGTTGTGGGTTAGTTAGTTTATGCGATAATTTCCTGCAAGTATTATTACACAACTTATTTTATGATTGGCATCGCAAGTTATTCTATGAACAAAAATAAAATTATTGATTTTGTATGTAATTGAACCATTCAGCTCGTAAAACCAAAAGTTGTGCCTGGATCTCAATATTATGGTACTTATGTACTTTTTCCAAATTTTTTACGGGGTGGGATCCGAAAAGTAGTTAATCTCCGTTTCGCACGTGTCCCTTCTATAAACAAAACTGGTGTACAAGAAGCGATACTAAGTGGAGGCGTGTCGTGGAATATTAAAAGAATTGTTCGCTGAGCAGGCCACAATTACCTTCTTCGATAATGGCTTCTCTGAAGTTCCGAAAAACGTCGAACTTTACTAGTCTTCTCATTGACATGACATTTTTATTTTTTCGTTGCTATTGGCTGATCGTCTTCGTGCGAGCCCGCTAATTAGCTCCGATTGTTTTCGATCAGCGACAACAAGCGGCGGTCGCCATGGCATGGGCTGTGGTGAAGATCTCCACTTGCTTTGTTGCTACACTTGCGGAGAACATTGCCACCGAAATTGTCACGAAGGTGAGTTCGAAGCCTGCTCTTCCGCTAAAGAATTTTTTTGTTTGTGGAAACTTGTTAGTAACAAAATAGGCTCTAAAGCACTACACCTAGCAGAAATCGTGTCGAATAGTCTAATCAGTGGGTGGGTTGAGTCGCCAAGGGTATCACAGGAGTCCCATCGTCGCGTCTCGAAAGTGTGCAACAATTGCGCTTCACAAAATGAATTTATGGTGACTAATCTTTGGGGCGGAAGTGGTGTAGTGGCAAGTGGCACGCTTACCACGCGAGCGGTCCGGGGATCAAATCCTGGGTCGTGAGTCGCCCGGGCCAACCAAGCCTTCCATCCCTCCGGGGTCGGTTAATTGGTACCAGACTTGTCTGGGAGGATAAAAACACTGACTTGTACATCGGCTGGCCCCCGCAAGTCATTGTATAGGCCACATCGCATTCAAACGCCACTACGAATGTACAAATGGAAGTAGAATGCGTGCCGCATCCCAAAAAGGGATTGATCAACGGCAAATGCTTTATCCTTTTTTTTATCAAGTATAACGCGATATACCTTGTGCATACCCATGATACGTTTCATGGATCACGGCTTAGCGACAAATTCAAATACATGCGCGCTTCAGTGGAGCCGTGGAGCAAAAAATTTCAGACAACTCGTCCAACCCGCTCCTTCATCCCAAGAGAGAATTGAGGGAATCCTTATTTGAGGGCTCCAACTCGGCATCCACAACTTTATTATCGACGCTCTGATCCAGCAAGTGTGATCAGGGGTGTTGCTTTAAGCATCAGGGTAAAAGACGTATACTTTGCCGAATGTGTCACGCAAATGGGAGTGCAGAAACGCTCAAATCTTGTCTCGACTATAACAATTAGCATTGGAGCATGCAATCTTATCTCCTACTGATTTTCTGCTAACTTCTTTTTCTTCTCACGGGGGGATGACGTAAGCAAACCAGCCCTTTTGGCGCTTCGGCTGGGACCGTATGCTGAATGTTGGGGAGGGGATGGGGTCCCCGACGGTGACGGACCACTTCAACTCGGTCCTTAGAACCGCCACAATTTGGTGCTTACCTCAGAACTAAGCCTTAAAGAGAGAAGGCTTAGTCCTGGGGTGAGCAAACCAGCCCTTCTGGCGGAGCTGCTGGACCAGCTGCACCACTTCGTCATCACTCTCCTACCGTACCGACCGAGTTGAAGTAGTCCGTCGACCGTCGGGGACCCCATCCCCTCCCCAACATTCAGCATACGGCCCCAGCAGAAACGCCAAAAGGGCTGGTTTGCTTACCTCGGCGGAAGCGTTGTAAACGGCATTAATTACCATGGGCACGATCTGGGAGTCGTATCTTGGAGCAAATATAACCCTCACAAACGAGGTCTTTCGTCCCTCCTCGCAAACCAAGTCATTCGCCTCTCCT